CACTCGAGCTTGTCCTAATGCAGCCCAGATGAAAGTAGATGTGATGTAAGAGGTGCGTGTCTGTTGGCTCATGGTCTTATCTATGGGGAGCAGGGCACTGGGGAACGACGTACAGAATGATCAGTTCATAAATCACGTTTGGCTCTTCCCTAGTCGATCCCATCTCCTCACTCTCCCTTTCGGCAGCTGCTAAACTCTTCAGACATGTTGCACCTGTTTGCATGGGTACACAAGCCCCCTGCCGGGCAGCCCCCTCCCCTCAGAGTGCCCCAGGGCGCTGCAGAGGGTGATGTAATCACATGAAAGTGCTGGTGCTTTAACAGGGCCACAGAGAGGCGGCTGAGCCCACGAAGAGGAAGCAGAGGCAAATGCAGGGTGTCTTCATAAGGCTGCTATTGATCAGAGTGAAATTTAATTTGGTGGGGGATTGACTGCGCTGCTTTACCTGTACAGCGACAGTGTGGGCCTGCTGCAGGCCTTTGTAGCAGCAGGAGAATCCGGCCCAGCAGCAGATTAAGGCCTGGACAGAATGGGAGGAAATGGATGATAAGGGAACAGTTTCAGGGGGATAGTGCTCTTGTGAAGGGGCTGAGATTGGAGCTAAAAGGCTTAATGGAGGGCAACTAATCCCAAATTGCAGAGATTCTGGGGTGACACCATTAGTGACATCCCCCTCATGTCAGGGCACTGGACACTTTCCTTTGGAACATTGATGTGGGACCAGCGGACAAGAGCAACTGTAGCTCTTACCTAAAGCTTAAGAAGGCCTGGGTGACCTTTATCTACTACATTCAAGTACAAATCATATTTGTGGCCTTCTATTCTCGGTAGAAATCACTTGTTTAATTTCTCAAATACTTTTTGTAGCTGCAGTATTAGAAATTGTCAACTTCTTGTACAAATCAGTGGAAAGAATAGTATTAACTACAAGACTGAAGTTTTTACACAAGTTGCTGACCTTCTGTGAATTTCACTTTTACTTGCCTAAACTCAATCCACAAACTCCCTCTTCCACAGTCCACCGTGAATCTTTATGGGTGTCTCCGTCGATTGGTCCACTGTTCTTTCCCTGTCTGTGGGGACTCTGCTTCAGATGTGTTTAACTTCCCAGTGTAGTGCAAAAGCTACTTGAAGAAGTTGACAAGGCTGAAGATTGGAAAGTAAATTCTCTGGGTCCCATCTTGTCCTCATGCAACTAACGGCTTATAGCTCCTCTGTGGAGTTCAATATCCACTGAGATGAAGGTATCAGCTTCACTTTTCTCTCTATGTTTTTTTTTTCCTCTTTTTTTCTTTTCCCGTCGCTGTGGCTGCCTCTGCCGGTGAAGTCGTTTAACACCGTCCTTGAGAAAGCCCTCGGTGAGAAAACTGCTGGCATGTTTAAGGAACAGGTAGACTGCAGTGTGTTAGACAGGCCTGGGACAATCAGAGGGGGGAGAGCCGGCCCCTGGAGGCGTTATTTTCCCCTCTAATAGCTGTTACGAGCCCTACATTATATCGAAGGAGCCACGTTCCTTTGGGGTCCGCACACACCTTGACAGTCACACAAAGGCGAGCACAAATTTCCTTCTTTCTTTGCCGCGTGCACGCACACACACACACACACACGTTTAGTCTTAGCCGCTCTGCTCTGCCCGTGTCAATATCCTGCCATTTGAAGTCACGTACAGCGGGGGCATTGGGGAGTCGCCTAGGAGCCAGGCTGACGGGTAATGGGCCGCATTCATTAATAAGGTTGCTCCTGTCCCTCTCCTTCGTAGCACCAAGGATGTCTTCACCAGGGGGTAGGCAAAGGGGGGAGGAGGAGGTGAGGTAGAAAGAGAGAGCGTCCCGTCGGGAATCTCCTCCAGACTCACTTAGAGCAGCTTGATTTCAGCAGAGAGGGGAAAAAGGGAAGGGAGAGAGAAAGAGGAGCGAGCCTGTTCTTTAAAAAAAAACTAAAAGCGAAAAAAAACGGGGGCCCAGGCGAAACGCGCTAACCCTTCGCGGGTCACCCTCCTGCTCCCCGTCAAACAGCTTATTACCCCACCTGTCGGAAAGTAATCGCCCCGGCTGAAAGGAAAGCTGTCGAGGTGTTTAAATGCTCTATACACAGGCAGCTGAAAGGGTAAAGAGGAAAGGACTGAATGCAGAAGGGGCTAATGGTTGCTGCTATAAGCCAAAGGAGCCGGAGGGACCGTGCACCGACAGGATTGAAGGTGACTGTTTTGGCGAAGCTCCCTAAAAAAACAGGCAAAGTGGATTTTAACACCAAGTGACGCACATCAACAGCTTTTTTTTTTGCTAACATGAGGGGTAAAACGTTCTGCGAGGATGGCTTTTTGGTGCACAGGTGGGAATATGTCAGCAGCGCAAAACTATGTAGAATCCGGACAAGGTACAGAATGATCTTGTTCCTTGGTTGGGTTTGAGGGCAAGACACTTAAACTGTTGCGAGTTAGTAGCGGGATGGGGGGGGTCGCTTAGCAGCCTCGTCCGAAAGTCTGAGAGTGAGTGGCTTTACCTTCAGAGATCAGCCAAGATTTTGAGGCTCATTTATGTGAGGGTATAGCATCACTTAGATACATACAGTAGATAGATAGATACTTTATTGATCCCCTGTAGAAGAAATTCTGAAATAATTTCCCTGACAACTTAAATTACCTCATTCATTTGTTTTAAACTATGTTACTGTACAGCTATTCAAAATGCAGTACACTAAATGAAAAAAGGTTGTTGCCAATACTGAAGCCAGGCTTTTAGGGGTTTTGCTCAGCCTATTACTGATTTTTACCAATAAAAATCACATAGATTATAATGTTTATATTTAAAGAAAAATCCACATACAGTAGAATCAAATACTTCATCAGGGACTCTCCATGCAGTAAATACATTTAAATGAATGAACGATATCCTGAACTTTTGTTTAGGATCTCGATGGCCTCTAGGGACTTTTTTACAGTCATCAATAAAAAATGTGTGAATTGTGGAAGTAAAATAAGTAAAATTAATAACATAAAGCGAGAAAAGTTTGACCGAATTATAACTTGGCATAAATCTTGGAAATCTCAACATACTGTATTATCTGTGTCTCGCGCAAAAAGAGCAAAATCAGCTGAAATCTTCGGGAAAATATGTAATTGGTAGCTAGTTAAATGTGATCATTATGACTTTCCCCACTGTGGGACAAATAAACCATTTCTTAATCTTAATCTTTTGTCATATATTTTCTTTATCGCGATTTTATTCATCCAACTACCGCTACTAGTCGTACTCTCGGACACACACACATCTGACGGTGTGTGTGTGACAGGTGCGTCTAGTCCATGCCAGCGCGGAGAGTCCAAGGCTGTGTTTTGAAACAGAGCGCAGCAAGTGGGGCATGTAGTTTGCATTAAAGGGATTAGCAGTCACTTCAAAAGATGACCTGGATTCAGCCCACCAGGGACACCAGTTACACACCCCCTGGTCGACACTCCCCTTTAAAGAAACCTGGCACAGCTGCCCCACCACTAGTGCTGTATGTATGTGTGTGTGTAAAAAGAGGACATATTTGTGAGAGGGAGGTGGTGACTGATCCATAGCCTCACCTGCACACGGCGTTGGTCAATACACATAAACAAGACTCAGAGGAGAACACTTCATCGGTTGTGTCAGAACAGTGTCATAGATTTGTTTTGGAGAAATTGGATGTTGCCTCGTCAATGTCGTCTCGCTTCTATATGACACCGATGCCGCCGCGTCGAGTCCCATCGCTTACCTGCCGCCATTGATCCGTGCAGCATATGACTCCTGTGCTATGGATTTCATATCTCTGATTTTAAATGTCAAAGTAATTATCTGCATGATGGGATGAAAGTTAGATGATTTGAGTGTGGCGAGATGGAAAGATGGTCCTGAAAGTCTACACATAAGATCAACAATGGTTACTATAGAGATGTGTGTTCTTTTGATGTTGCTTGCTTGAAGAAATGAATGGGGAAAAAGAAGCATGACTTTCACATTTATGTTTAATTTATTGTTTCATTTCAGTTTGTTTCAACAAATTGGTCAAGAAAATGTGGTTAAAAATACTCTTGGTTAGAATTTAATGGGATTCATACTGTCTCATGTTTCTGTTTGTGTGTCTGGTTGTCTGGTTAAATGACAAATCAAAACAAATAAATGGACATCTCTATGACATTATGGATGGAGTGCAAAACTATAAATATATAATAAAACATAATTATTGTCATTATCTTACTAGAAGACATTTTATCTTTTCTATGTTTGTAAGAAAGAGCCCTCTGAGTCACAATTTTTGGCGTTTTTGTGTTGAGAGCTGATTGGCTGAGCAAGAAATATGCTCTAAAGATGTGAACAAAATAATACATGCCTGGGAAGTTTATTGTAGCAAACAGTTTTGAGAGTGAGGTTTGAAAGTTCAATACCCCAGCTTTATGTCCCGGCCATTTTTTGACTATAGATAGATAGATATATAGTTAGGTAGGTATTATATTGATCCGTCATAGAGGAAATTCAGGTGTCCAGCAGCAGAAACGCATCCATTCATACAGATAAAACAAATGAATACATCATTCTAAAAGTTCCTATCAATAGTAATAAAGTATAGCACAATCCATGCACCAGGCAACCCCATGTGTTTAACAAAAAACAAGAAAGGAAACATTATAATCATAAAACAAACGATTAAAACCATTTACATTCACAGTCCATAATTTTTGACCTGGGTTTACATTGTCAGTGTAGAAAACCTCAAAATTTTCAGTCAAACTTTCCATATTATAGCTGCATCCATTTGAAATCTCCCCCTTGTGCTCCTCCGAAGCAAAAACGCAATAGATCATATTTTTGGCAAAATTCTGTGGTCCACCAAAACTTTCTGCTTTGTCTTCTTACTTCACATAATTCTCCCCATAACCAGTCCACACACTAAGGGAGATATCTTGCCCATTGCTGCCTTTTTCTAACGCCGTCTTTTCTCTCTCTCTCTGTCTCTCTTTCTCTCTTTGTCTTTGACAGAACCACACGTTGACTCAGCACAGCAGCAGCAGCGGCAGCAGCAGCTAACATGGCCCATACCAGCGCCCGGCCCATACTTACGGTTACACGACACCAGACAGAATCATTACAGCGGCCGTCAGTGCATCATCTCCCACTGACCAGACTCGAAAACCGAAAAACCAGGATTGGAAAATCACGTATCCGCAGACAAGGGGAGGTCTGGACTTTCAACACTCCTCCTTACTGACAGTTTGTATGGGGAGGAAGAGAAAGAAAAAAAAATCAACTTTCTTTGTATATAAAAAACCCTTCATGTGTTGCTTACCAATTATATCGCAATCTTAAAAACAGTATTTGCAAATGTACAGCGCAAAAAAAATGTTTGTATGAGGTTTGGGGCGGGAGGGGGGCGGGGTAAACATGGTGGGGGTGAAGAAGAAGAAGAAGAAGGCACTTTTCCAAGCCTATCTGTGTGGACTGCGGCAATCTGCAAACACGGTCAATCGTTTTTTTGTTTTTTTGGGGGGGAAATCAGTGCAAATAATCTGCATTGGAGTCGGAAGATGAAATGACAGAAAATGAAAGGGGAGAAAGCGGGACACGATGCTGATATATGCAAACGCTGTGACACACATTTGGGGGGGAAGAAAAAAAAAGTTCCTCTGCTTGGCTGGCAAACAGAGGCATGGTTGAATCTCCCGCGTGGATTCAAATTGTACATTTCTGTTGTTAATGTTTACTTGCTCGTCCAAGCCTGGAGATGACTGGAATATTTCTATGTTTTCTGCTCTTTTGTTTCTTTTCCTTTCTTTTTTATTATTTTGTATTTTTTTTTTTTTCAAGGGATTTTCAATTGGGAAGGGGAGGGGGGTAGGTGGGGGGGTCATCAAGTTTGAGCACAGCTGTCCTCATAAGCTGGAAGCCATCTGGGCACAAACTCTTCGTATCCATTCTGTTATATTGGTCATGTTTTGAGATGCACTTTTGTATTATGATGTTTTGGACATTTTCATTGACGTGGTTTACAGGACAAATCAACATCTCCTGGCGCTAACGGACGTTTATCTCTGATGTTACTCAAATGTATTGTACAAATATGGAGTTCTGTATTTGGCAGACCTCGTTTTTTTTGTGTTGCACATGTGATGAAAATATTAAAAATTGTATGAATACTTACTGCTGTTTTGTCAACTTTGTCCTTTCTTGAATGCGTATCCCACAATATTACGTCACATACGCTGTCCACACGTTCATTTAAATGGGAAATAACATTGTTTGAATTGTTCTTTACTTTCACTAGCACCAGTGACGTCACGCCCAATCGCGGTGAAATGAGCCATACTATTTAGGGCTATTGCGGTGTGATGTAGTAGTGCTAGCCTAAAACTAGGGAGGGGGTGCCAAAAGAACCACTACACCTAAGATAGTAAAATGGCTTTTATTCACTGTGGGATAGCTACTTAAGAAAGAGTGAAGTTTGTTACTGACAGAACAAGGTTACAGATGTATTTTTTGACTGGGTGTTTACTTTATACTGTAGATGCCACCGTATGTGAAATCCAGATCATGTTAGACCAGGCCTGGTTAGTACTGTGAACACCGGGTGCCACAGTGGGGCGGCTGCAGCTGTGAAGTGCCAAAATTTCGTTGTGTCCTTAGGCAAGACACGTCACCCACATTGCCTAGAATGAGTCTGGTGTGTGTGTGAATGGTTGGTGGTGGTCGGAGGGGCCGATGGAACTTACTGGCTGCCTCGCTTCTGCCAGTGTGCCCCATGGCAGGTGTAGCTACAGTAGTAGTTTTTCACCACAGAGTGACAGAATAATGACACGTGAAGAGTCTTTGAGTGTCCAAAAGAATTTACACTGAGATGTTCTGTAATGCTCGAGGTGTAACCAGCTGCAACTCAGTGTTCATAACATGATCATTTACTTTGTGTCCATTTCTCAATACAAATAAGATACAAATGTATTTTCAATCAACAACAAAATTCCAGCTAATTAATTCATACAGCCTTTTTCTGTTTCTTGCTTTTACTTATTAACTTTTATAGTTAAAGACCCATGTGTTTTACTCTTGTGCAGAAAATATCAACTTGTGACACACACACACACTGTATATACCCACACTTTCTCTTGTCTGGACACACCTAATCAACTCATCCCCCAAAAGCATAGTCATCAGCGCAATCTTATACCTTTTTCCTTTTTTTTATTATAACAAACAGCATGCTATTTTCCTCCGCTCCCTCGTGGTTCTCGCTAACGAACATCTGAGCATCTTAAGGGAGGTCTGCTGTTATTAATGACTCCATTACCCATCACCCTGTGCGGTCCCATTTCCACACACCCATGCGCGCTCTATTTAGGGAGGCTGCAGCACTCCAGGGGACCAGGGGGAAAAGAAAGAACTCACCCAGACTTTTGCCGATCGGGACGAGAGCCGCGCTGCAACATCTGCCTGTCTCCAAGAATGATTCATCAAGAGTGACGTGAGCGAGGAAAAAACATTTGTTAAAGATTGGGATGTGTGTGGAGGGAGAAGGTGTTTTTTTGTTTTGTTTTAAAGCACCGTATAATCACACTTGGTGGACTTGGTGAAAAGGATTGTGTTTGAACCGATAACGTGGATTTATGGAACCTGAAAGAAAAAAAGAAAAGAAATCTGAGACCACCAGAAATTATGAAATGGGAGACTTCCAAGTATGGATCTGCGAAGGGGATGAAGCTCAGGGTTAGTAAAATTCCCGATTGAAAACAACAATTCCCCCATAGGGATTGTTTTATTTGTATGTATATAGTTTAATGTCCTTATATGATTTAACAAGGACCTTTCCTTTCTTGTTTTGTAAAGCACTTTGAGTTGCCTTGTGTATCTACTGTAAAAATAAACTTCAAATGTCAAGAGTTTGAGACATGATGTAACTACTCTCCACACTCCACAATAGTTTATTTATTTAATGATGTAGATCTGGTGGTCCTTACTCCCAGAGAGCTGAAAACCCCCAAACAAGGTTCCAATCTTTTAATTAATAATTTTTCATTCATGATAATGGGGAATTTTACCTCCTGAACACAGACTGTATTTAGATGGACTATGCTAACCCACTAGCTCAATGTAGCCCAATAGGAAAGGGCTCATGGACAAAGTTTTTTGTGTGTGTGTGTCACGCTCACCATTTTGGGCTTAAAAAGAATGGTTTACAGTAGCGCTCGGTATGATCCTGGTGCAATATTTTGGTATCTTTTTTCATCCAGCCATAGAGCCATATAAGGATCGACCAATCTGAGCTCTCCCTAGCAACTATTTTAGCAACACGCCCGCTGCTGTTATGGTGCAAAGCTAACGTCATCGGAGCAAATACCCAAATAAGGAAATAGGCACCAACTAGCTCATGTTCAAATCGGCTTCTTTCACATTCAGCAAACACTAGTCCACTCCTCAAACATAATCTACGTCCCTTAATCCGGAAGCTTCACTGATTTTGCAACTCCAGCGGGATTAAATTTGATAGCGTATTACACATATCGGGTTACCACGTCAAATAAAAAAAATAAAAAATCTCTACTCTCTTTCCCCACTTCCCACTAAATCTATCCAATCAAAACAAATCCTTCCATCCTGACCATCCACAACCACACACCTTTGCTCTCATTATAAATTGGATCGAGGTGTCCCGTTTTAGCTTCACGTATTGAAACAACCAAATCCAGGAAAAGCCTATAACCAAAGAATGAAAATCATTAACAAAGAAAAGTAAAGCCGTCCCCCAGTTCCACACATACCGTACTGTCAGACTGGGACCACACACTGCTGACTCTGGTGCTTCTCTCCTTGGCTTTGGCTTTGCATATCTGTGGCGTGACATTACCCTCGCATGTTGTCTGTCATCTGCGCGTTTTTATTGCTCGGCTTTAACTAGCGTCGGACGATCATCGGAGACTCTTCCACGATTCAACTCCCCCTGCGCCACAGAGAGATGGTACAACCCACTATTAACCATCATTCTAAATGCAAGCTGGGCATCCATTAAACAACTTCGCTAGTGTCTCCGTGTGCCAGCCACTTTTAATAAGCTTCAAGGGCATTCCAAGCTGGTCCAGAACTTTGCTTTGCCAGAGATGGACTGGCCCACATCATCCATTACATTAAATTGGGTGGCGGCCTCCAGCTCATATTTATGATTTAATTAAATTCACTTGTGAGGCGTATCCGTAGCAGTGCGCCTCCCTTTTTAACGGAGCCGGGACGTGCGCGCTCTCACACACACACACACACACCGCACTGAGCACTGTGTTTCTGACTCTCGCCCAAGTGTTGAGACTTGGTGGGTGCATTGGCAGGGGCGTTCTCCTGGGCACATTTAAAGCAATATAATTACACAGCCCCCAAGTATTGCTCCATCAGAAGGCAGCAGAGTGGATGGCTTGTTCAGTGATAGCTCTGGACATGTTAACGGCAGCCACAAAAGGGGTCCCCATCCCATTTCACTGATTATTTTTTGTTTGCGTGGTTGGAATTGTCTTAACTTTATTTATGAAATTCTTACATGCATTGTTTTGCAGCGTAGAGATCAACACAATGGTAAGATTCATATGAGCATCTCACACACACAGATGTACATATATGTATTGTTATTTTGTTACCAAATTTAAACAATGGAACAGGTTTTTTTTTTTGTATCTTACCTCCGTCCAACCACTCCTTAAGAAGTACATCACATAAAACATGTCAGTAGGAAGATGGCCGTCACCTCAGACCTGAAACATAATAATAATGCATCGGTTTTACACAGCACTTTTTTGGACACTTCAAATATCATGAATGATTCACTCCATACACTGTGGTGATAAACTACTATTGTAGCCACACCTGCCATGGGGCACACTGACAGAAGCGAGGCAGCCAGTATGTACCGTCGGCCCCTCTGACCTCCACCAACCATTCACGCCAACTCCAGACGCATTCAAGGCAAAGTGGGTGAAGTGTCTAACCTAAGGACACAAAAATATTTTGGAACTTTACAGCGGCAGCCGCCCCACTGCTGCACCTGGCGTTCCCAAAGG